ATTGAGTAGAAACTGTTGTTAAAAAAAAAAAAGAAAAAACTTTATTTGCCTTTTTATGAAAATTAAAACAAAGGGTTTGTGGAGGGAGTAACATTATATAAGTTTAGTATAATAAACTTGCAGGAAAATAATACCTAAGGCTACTGATCATTAGAAATATCCAGAGTAGAAATGATCTAGACATGTATATAGAACTACACATCACTAAAGGGAAGAAAAAAAAATTTTTTTAACATAGGCAGAAAACAAAAGCTTGCAAAAATAAGAACTTTAAAGTGTCATGAGGGGCACCTGGGTGGCTCAGTTGGTTGAGCATCCAACTCTGGATTTCAGCTCAGGTCAGGATCTCATGGTTCACTGAATTCAAGCCCTGCGTTGGGCTCTGTGCTGACAGCATGGAGCCTGTTTGGAATTCTCTCACTCTCTCTGTCTCTCTCTGCCCCGCCCCTGCTTGTGCATGCACACACGTGCACGCTCGCTCGCTCTCTCTCTCAAAATAAACATTTAAATAAATAAATAAATAAATAAATAAAGTGTCATGGATTAGAGGGTGAAACATTACTTAGGATCTAGCAATTCTACTCCTACTTATATTTCCTAGAGCAGTGCTCTTTTCAAACTGAGGATAATTCACCTGGCAGATCACAGAATCAACCTACTGGGGCATCATTAGCATTTTTTAACAAAAAAAGAAAACCTAAGAATATATCCCTATATACCAAAGTTTAGTAAGGGTAAATATTGTTTCCTGAAACCTCTGTTTCAGGTGTATGAGAGAAGGGTGCATGCATGTGAGTGTGTACATACATACATGGTCACTATATATAAATTTCTTACTGGGAGCCACAGTTATAAGAAGTATAAAACTGACAACTATAGTAAAACCGTTGCCTTTGAGCTCTTGACTTATTCATAGCAGTATAAATGAATGAACCAAAGCTGTATGTAACAATAAAAAATAATTCTAAAAACAAAAAGTTTGAGAAAAAATAAGGAATAGAAGCATCCACACAGTATGATGTCATTTTCATAAAATACAAAAATAGGGAAAATCAGATCATATATTATTTAGGAATATATTTTTCAACTTTTTAAAGAAGGAAATGATAAACACAAAATTCAAAATAGAGACTAGATTTAAGGTGGGGGTTGAGAAGGGAGAACCACATAGCATGTTCTTAAGTTGGGTAGTCACAATTCTATTATAACACTTCACAGAATACACACTACACAAATTATTGTAGATATAAGTAATTATTTTAAAAGTTGGGTTTATATCAAACATGAAGTGACTCAGGGTCTGAACTAGTGTGTTGGAAGTGAGAATTAAAACAAAGAGATGAATAGGAAGAATGATAGAGCTGTAACAAAGGAAAATAGTCACTGAGAATTTATTCTATTTTCTGTGATTTCTTTCATTAACTTCTTATACATATCCACATTTACCATTTCTAGATTAGACACTGATAGTTAAAATAAGTTTAGAAACTTGTCTGAGTTTACACAACCACAAAATACTATAAACCAGAATTCAAACCCAGAACTATCCTTTGTCCAAATCCCATGTTCACTTCATTACATACACAAAGGGACTGGTAACTAAATATAAATGTTTAGTCAAAAATGTTCAGAAGTTCAAAGATACTGGAGGTATTTCCTCGTTTAACCTCCTAATCCTATACATAGGAAATTAAAAGACGATTGTCCTTAAATACTCTATGAATTCAGCAGTTCTCAAGCTCTTTCATCTCAGGATGCTTTACACTCTTAAAAGGTACTGTGGCTCCCCAAAACTTTTTATTTTTATGGGGTATATCTATTACTACTTATCATATTAAAAATTAAGACTAAGAAACTTTACAAATACACATTCCAAAATAACAATAAATCCATTACATGTTAGTGTAAATAACATAATGAGAAGATAATAATAATAATGAGAAGAGTGCTAGGATTTCACATTTTCGCAAATCTCTTTAAATTCTAGCTTAATAGATGTTGCACTCTAGTATCTGTTTTTATATTCAATGTGTTGTATTATATACTGTTTTGATTTATGTATATAAAAAAATACACTTTCAAAAGACACATAGCTGGGAAAGGAGGACCTCACACATTTTCTGAAAAGGTCTCATAGGCTCGCAATGTCTTCAGGCTGTACTTTATGAATTACTGATCTAGGCACTTGGGTAGTTGTCAGTTAAGCGTTCGACTCTTGGTTTCAGCTCAGGCCATGATCTCATGGTTCATGAGTTTGAGCCCACATCGGGCTCCGCACTGACAGCATGGAGCCTGCCTGGGATTCCCTCTCTCCTTCCTCTGCCCCTCCTCCACCCTGTCTCTCAAAATTAATAAACTTTAAAAAGTAATAAAAAGATTTGAAAAAAAGAATTACTGATCTAAAGTTTATATTCTTCTAGCCATTCTTCCTAAGGACGTGAACAAACAAAAGTATGTACAAAAGCACAGAATTAACATATCGTAATTTGAAATTTTGAAAAATCTAATTTATACTGATACTCCCCTGACCTAGAATTCCCCTAGATCTGAAATCCAATCCAAATGTATATAAGACCCAAACTCAATCCTGTTTTTCTCATTATCTTTTGTAAGGAGGAATACAATACTAGCAGAAAATTAGTCCAGACTGCAGCAGCCTACTACAATAGAAATCAAAAGATCTGGACATCAGCACAAACTAAATTAATTTCAACAAGAGGTAGCAAATAGTTTCTGTAAAGTACCACAAAGTAAATATTTTAGGCTTGGAAGCCATACAGTCTTTGTTGCAAATACTGAATACTTACAGCATGAAAGCAGCCACAGAAAATATAAAAATAGATGGAAGTGGCTGTGTTTGAATAAAACTTTATTTATAAAAACACAGGCTTGACCCTCAAGCCATATTTGGCAGAACCCCGTTTTAGACTAGTCAGCTCAAAAAATGTAGTGACTAAGAGCATTTTTATAAAAGCAAATCTTTTTCTTATTTATCACTGCGTTATTCTCAAACATAAATTAGAGCGGTATCTTCCAATCTAAGATATCTTTGTAAATCCTTATGATAATAACACACCCTCCTCTCACTGAGTAAGAAGAAAGCAGAATATATAACTCTTAGGTATTTTCAAATAACTAAAAGTTATTCAAGCACCTAAATAAGTACATTGAGGAACTGGCAATATATTCCACAAGAATGGCAAAATATTCCAGAATAATAAACTATGAGAGTAAAAAAAAAAAAAAAAAAAAAAAAAAAAAAAAAAAAAAAAAATTTAAAGATATATCAAATTCACCATTTCTGTTCTTTATTCTTTCTAGTTAATTTATAATAATATAATTGTATGGTTATATTCCTTCTGAGTGTAGAAAGAGTTCTTAAACCAGATACAAAATGCATAAACCATGACAGAAACTAAATTTTACTGCGTTAATATTTGAAATGTAAAATTTCCTCAGAAAATACAAACACAAAACTCTAAAACTTAAGTAAATAAATTGACAAAAGATATTCATAAATAATACAGCAATCAAAAGATTAAAACAAGAATATATTTTTTAAGTTCCCACAAAACAATAAGTAAATGTAAATTAAAATTATGGAGGTACAGCATTTAAAATTCATCAAATGTATGGGGTACCTGGGTGGCTCAGTCAGTTAAGCTTCCGACTTTGGCTCAGGTCATGATCTCACGGTTTGTGAGTTCAAGCCCCACATCCGGCTCTGTGCTAACAGCTCAGAGCCTAGAGCCTGCTTCGGATTCTGTGTCTCCCTCTCTCTCTCTGCCCCTGCCCTGCTCACACTCTCTATCTCTCAAAAAGTGAATAAATGTTAAAAAAAAAATTTTTAATTCACCAAATGTGCAAATTTTTAAAACTCCAGCCATACCAAGTGCTGAGGTGATGTGAATCAATGAGCACTTATACATTACTGGAGAGTATGTAAAGTGATATACCAATTTGGGGAAAAAATTGCATTATCTTCTAATGTTCAACATCTGCATCTTACAAGTAAGCAGTTCCATTTCTAGGAATGTAGAGAGAGAAACTTACAAATATATACAAAATGTATCAAAAATGTTCATAAACTGGTAAATGGATAAAGCCATACCATGGAATACAACACAACTGAGAAAATGAACCCAACTACATGGGTCAATATGGATGAATCTCAAACAATGATAAGTAAAAACAGCCAGCTACAGAAAAATGCATTTAATGTGATATTCTTTATATTAAGTATAAACATGAAATATAAATTATTTACTGTTCAGATGTGTATGTGTTAAAATATACATAAGAAGGAAATAGAAATAATGAAAACACCCAAATTAAGGTTAGTGGGGAAGGAGAGAGGGCATAACAATGATAGACAAAGAAAACTGGGATGGAGAAACCAATGTCATAAATACTGGTAGATACATTATTCCTTATACCTTTTTGTAGGTGTAGAATATTTCATTAAAAATTTTTAAACAAAAGCTATATAAAAATAACTTACACTGGATTAAATTAAAAAAATAAAAATAAATAAAAGACTAGCAGATTCTCCCAAATCAATTTTTTAACTGACTGTAATGTAACCAAAGGACACACATTAGCCCAAGCTTTTCTAGTTAACTCAACCACCTTACATTACTAAAATACCTTCTCATCTTTGAATATACTGCGCCACCTTGTGTTCAAAAGCTTCAAACTACCCTAAAATTTAGAGAACCGTATCTGTAAAAATGGCTACTTGAAAATATAAGTTCCTTTATGCTATGCCATGAGGTTTCACTTTATTAAGCATACATAAAAATAACATTTGAAACCTCGCTTTGATTCTGAAGAAATTGGAAAATTTTTCTTCTTAGTGATTCCTTTTAGTTGTTCTTTCACTGTGCTTTCAGAGAATGTCTTTTTTCCTTGCTTTTAAGTACATAAAATTTTTAAATGAGTAAAACACAAAATTATAGACATTTATAACACTAAAATAAATTTTCATTAAAAAAACTTACCTTTGAATGTGTGATTGATAAGGTATCTACCCACACACGCCAGCCACCCCACTCATATTTGACTGCATGGTAAAGTAGGATTCTGAATATTGCATAAACCATTTCTGTTATCTTTTGCTCATCAGAATTCTTAGGATTGAAATAACAAAGAGAAAGCATCCATTCTTGCCATACAGAACACTGTAGCAAGCTCCTGAAAATTGTAAGAGGATATTGAATTACTAAAAAAAACTTTTTTTAATTTAAAAAATTAAAAAAAAAAGCCCTCATCTTTAAGAATTCTAAAAAGTAAAAGTAAAAGTTCAAAACAAAATAAGCCAAAAAAAAAAAAAAAAAAAAAAAAGCATCTCCATCTATTAAAACAATTAAAGAAGGTGGTACTGAAAACTCACTTTAAATATAAGGTACATTACTTATATACCCTTAATGAAAAAAGCATATGGAAAATTCATTGCACAGTATTTTTTAAAGCAATTTTTCTTAGAAAAAATTCAAACCTTACCTTCTGTTTTCTCTACTGTTATTAAAAAGTTTAATCATATCAGAAAGAAAGGCTCTGCGAACTTCCATGCTCTCAGGACACTGGGGAGAATTTCGAAGTAGGGTTGCAATTACTTTTAGTATCTCTGTAAGACAATTCATAAATTAGTAAAAACCAAAACATTACAAAAAATTCATGATGGAAGATCATT